GGAGGGGATTTGGGGACTCCTGGGATACGGGGGCCTGGGGAGTTAGAGCAAGAGGGCTGGAAATAGGGAAGGTGCCCCCCCCAAGAGCTCAAAGGACCCAGGTGTCCAGATCCCCAGCTTGAGGTGATAGGGACAGGAAATGAAACCTGGCAGAACAGAAAGTGAAACTGCAGGTGGGGCCTGGTAAGGAAAGGGGCCCTAACACACCTGGACTGGGAGGGTGAGGCCTGGGGGGCGGGCAGACTGGAGATTTGAGTGTTGGACAAAAAATTTTACCCAAAGGATAATTCGCACCACCACCCTGGGCTTCCCATGGAGCAGACTGAGTTGGGAGGTGGGCTGGGCCAGCTCGATTTGGGTGCTGATGGGCAAAGCCATAACTGTTCTTGCTGCTGAAGGTCCATAGGAGACAGCACTATCTTGGTCCTGACCACCCGGGAGGTCTTTATCTAAGCTTCAGTTTCTTTGTCCATAATATGGGGGAGTTGGCCCCATGTTTTTCTGAAGCCCAAAGGATTAATTTCCAGGAGTCTGAGAAGATACTGGAATTTGAATATTTTGTAGAATTATATACATTATGAAATTATACATCCCAGGTTCTAACATACTATAATTTTACATTTTCGGATTTTGATAACCTAAATTAGCAATAACTTAATATAATGTTCTAGAAGTCTGACAAAGTAGGATTCTAATATTCTAATGTCTTAGCATTAAAGCATTCCAACAACCCAGCATTCCAAAATTCAAACATTTTAACATTCTAGGATTCCAACAACCTAGGAATCTAATAATATTCCAATATTTTAGTATTTCAGCAAGCTAGAATTCTAATATTGGAACACTTCATTATCAGGGCTATCCAACAACCTAGGAAGGATGCATATTCCATATCAGGGCTATTCAACAACCTAGGAAAGATGCATATTCCAACTACTTGTGATTCTAATACTCTAATGTTTTTATAGTCCAGCACTCCAACAACACAAGCATAAGCATTCTAACCTTTACTGTTCTGGGATTCCAGCATCAAATTCTACCTGTTCCCTTTGCCATGATTCCCAGACTGCACCCTGGGGGATCCTGGTATCCAAAACTAAGGGTAGGGTTGGGGCACTGTGATTAGGAGAAGGAACAGAGTACCCAGGGCCTCTGGGGGTGCAGAAAGGGCACCTACCAGCACAATCATGCGTCTCAGGCCTGGGGCCAAGTCTCTAAGACCTCACTTGGCCCCAGCACCTACACCCACATGTGTCACCCGATCGCCATAGCCAGCCTGGGTTCAGTTTCTACTGTTTCCACGAAAATGGGAGTCCCCCCAATGGGTGTGAGTGTGGAGATTTCCCCACACACACACCTGCCCCTTCCTCTCCATTCTATACCTGGCCTGCCCCTCCCTTCCTCCCTGCCAGCTGCAGATGAAAACAACATGCAGGGACAGGGAATTTGGGGAGGCCTCTGGGATATCTCCCCCTGCCTGGTCCTCTCTAAACGGGTGGTGGGGAGAGAAGGCAACGGGGCCAATGCCCCCCACCCTCCAGTTACCCGGTGCTCATCCTCCCTTTGACCCATGTCAAGCCTCTGCCGGCGCCCCTCTCCTCGTACCTCTCCCCAAGGAGAGGGGAGGTGAGCCTGCACCCTCACCTTTTGATCCACGATGGAACAAGCCAGCTGCTTCACATGGGCCAGCTCCGAGGCGGCGGGCAACAGCACGAACTCGCGGGTCAGTCCTATCTGGATGTGGAAGGAAACCCCGGGGCCCGGGGCAGGGATCTGGGGCAGCAGCGGTGGCGGCGACTGCAACTCCAAGACGCCGGGGGGCGGAGGAGACCCTGGCCCGGGAGAGCCGGGAAGCCCCGCGGAATAGGAGGGGGCGGCGGCCATGGGGGGAGGCCCAGGACCCAGCGCCCACCCGGGATCCAGCTGGGGAAACCCGGGGAACCCGGGTCCTAGATCCGAGAGATCTTGTGCTCTGGTAGTAGGAGCGCGGGTATCAGAGATGGGAAATCTGGCAGGTTAAGGGGACTTGAGGATGGCAGGATCTTGGGAAATTAGAGAAAAGCACGTCCGAAATCAAGGGATCACAAAAGATAAGAAAGGAACAAAGTAGTAGTTTGGGGGACCGAGCGATTACGAGATTCTAGGAAACCAGAGAGGAAAATCTAGTAGGTCAGATCAGAGGGATCAGAAGAGTCCCTTTCAGAGAGGGCGATTGAGAAGGGAGCAGGGGGGGAAATCCCAAAATCCAGTGGCTCTAAGAAGGCGGTCCGAGGGATTCACAGACCTTGGGAGTGGAAACCAGGAGTCAGGGATCGAGTGGATCCCAGGGATCCCAGCTCCCGTCGGCCCAGGATGGGCACAGGGGTCCTGAGGGCCGGGGTGGGAAGGAGGGAATCTCACGGGTCGCGGAAGTTGGAGAAAAGTTCAGTCAGGAACAGTGGGGAAAGGGGCGTTACCGGCGGCAGGGTAGGGGATGGGGGCAAAGGAGGGTCGCGCCGGGTGCGGGTGGCTCTTCCCCCCCCCCCCGTCAAAGTTTAAGTCGGCGGCGGCGGCGCAGGAGGAAGTGTCCAGAGCGATGGCGCAGTCGGCCAATCGGCGCGGGTCTAGGTGACGTCACGGGGCGGGGCCCGTCGAGGGTTTGGGGGCGGAAGGGGAGGGCGGGCCAGGCGCCTCCGAGATGGGGGCCCGACTTGCTGGATCTGACATCCAGGGATGGGGTGGGAGGTGGGGGGCTGGGAGGGAGGACTGATTCCTCCCCTCTACACACGCGAGTCTGGAAAGTTAACTTTCCCATTAGCTGAACAGGGAGGGGCGAGCCACCCCTACCCCCACCCCCACCCAGGTCGCGGGACCCGGTTGGGTGACTGGCCCTTTAAGGATGAAAGCCGTCTCGGCCTCCGGCAGCTGGCGCCCACCGCTTGGGAAGAGATGGGAAATAGGGTATCGGCGTCTCTCTTCTTAGGTGTCTCGTGGTGTAGCTCAGCCCATTCAACAGATGGGAAGACCAAGGCCTCCAGATGGGTAGGAGGCCCTTGCCTCAGGTCTGGCTCCAGAGATTTGGGGCAAGGTGCATAGAGCTAACCGGAGAACCAGTGCTAAGGATCCATACCCTCCTCCTTCAGGACAGTGCCTGGGGGTGCCTGGAAGGGAGGACCCACATCCACACCACTTCACAGGTGGTAAACTGACATTCTCTTGAGGATACGTGCATGTATCTTTCTCTGTGTGACTTCCTCTCTATGAGCCTCAGTCTGTTAGATGGGACTGTAATTGGACTGAATCTAGAGGGAATTGTGGGATGGAGGAGATAGTATATAGGTGCCTGGAGCACAGCAAAAATTCAGTAAATGGTAGCTGTCAGTAACAATTTGCAGAGATGAAGCAGTGGGTGCCTGAAGCACTCAAGCATTCACGGGTAGATGTGTCCATTTAGTCACCCAGCAAATATTTGTTGCTCAGACTTGATTTCTCCTCCCCAGTTCATAATCATACGTAGGAACCTGAAGCCTCAGAGGAGCAAAGTGACTGGTCCAAAGATCACCAAATTGCTCCACCCACTCCCTTTTCACTGACCGGTCAAGTTTAGGTTTCATCCTAGAGATGGACCGCCAGGGCTGGCTGGGGCTGGGAGCTGAGGGCAGAGCTCCCCCCCGGCCCTTCCTGGTACGGGGGCCACGGAAGGTAGGTGAAGTCCATACAGTATCGATCTGTCACCGCTGTCACCACATCCGGAGGCTGGGGCTGGGGAAGGAAGTCTGAGGCTGTTAGGAAAACCAAACTACCACCTGGGGAACTGCATATAGCCCAGGCTGGGGGAGCAAGGCCACGTGGAGCCGACAATGGTCTCTTGTCAGTGTCATCTAAGGGCCTCTGCCTACCTGCACCCCTTTTCTAGAGGGGTAGATGACTGTCACAGTGAAATGCCAACATGTCTTTTTTTTTTTTTTTGAGACAGGAGCCTCAAGCTGTCACCCTAGGTAGAGTGCCGTGGCATTACAGCTTACAGCAACCTCCAACTCCTGGGCTCAAGCGAGTCTCCTGCCTCAGCCTCCCAAGTAGCTGGGACCACAGG